ATATTTACTATGGCTAAAGCTATCGCTTACAATTTCATTTTGTTATTTCTGACCACCGAAGGTTTTCAAATAACTGGCGTTCATTTTCTTTAATGTTATTACCAATGCAAAAGAAAAAAAAAAGCGAATCATTTGAAAACCTTCGACGGTCAGAAATAACCAAATGAAAATGGTAAGCGATAACGATAGTCATAGCAAATCCCGTTAGGCGATTGGCCCCCTGATAGACGAAGAAAAAGAGTTAGTCATTATCCCTATTTATTAAGCAGAAACAGACACGATAATGGATACAGTTATGAAATTGCTGAAAATCATAGAAAATGCATATCCGCTGCCTTGGAACTTAAGAAATACTAAAGGAAATTTGACACGGCTATTAAGATCTCGGTATCATATTTGGTCAGAGCGTCCGCCCGGATAGTGGAAGATGCGGGTTCAATTCCGTCTGAAACCTGCAGCAAGTGTTCTTTAGATTAAAAGATCTTGCAGTTAAATGCCTAAAAAAGAAAAACATATTGGTGAGGAGCTCGATGGCGCGATCGGCTGCGGTCGTTCAAGTCAAGCAACTTTCGCAGTGGTCGGTCATTGGATGGGTGACCAAAAATTTACCATCTCGAGCTCCTCCTCCTCCGTGCTTCGGAACGCATGTTAAGCCGTTGGTCCCGGCTGCATCTGCAGTCGTTAGCACCCACCAATCCACACTGGGCCCGAGTGGTGGGTCATGGCCCAATCTTCCTATTCCATACATAGTGAAGGCCTGTGCCCTAGCAGGGGGGACATTATTAGGCTGATGATGATGATGATGATGAGCATGATATTTCCCTAAGCAAGGTAGTTCCATTCGAGTAGAAAATCCCCTATGTCCTACCAGCTTTATTAATTCGTTAAAGTAGGTACGTCTAAATGCAAATATATAATTATATTAGTCACTCATTGTGGTTTCCCTCATTAGCATTTCCGCTCTGTGTCTTACGAGGTCACAAGTAAAATGAGTTATATACAATAAAATTGAAAATAAACAGCAATTATTCATAATTTATTTTATTCGATTAATGAGCAAAATAACAAAAGATTGTCAAGGTTTTAATCCATAAATCCATATTTGTTTCTCAGGTTTTCACGCACATCAACGTCAATAAATACATAAAGTTTCGAGCATTAACCCGTAAAAAACTAGTTTTATCCATAAATCCATACTAATATACCTACATACGAAGATATTTGCGGCTACCGTGGCTGAGTGGTATATGCGCCGGGTTTCAAGGTGTCGCCTACTCAGAGGTCGCGGGTTCGAATCCCGGTGGTGGCAAATAGCCTTATATTTATTATTATTATTTATTTATTATTAATATTATAAATGTGAAAGTTTGTTTGTTTGTTACTCAATACAAAGAAAGGACATTGGGCAAAAATGTATGGACGCTGCACCCACGTCCGCCACGTCCGTACAAGTACTATAACGAACGAACATTAATAAAACAAAAGAATTAATTAATTTAGTTCGACCCTACATAGGGCGCTCAGGAATTATGGGAGTACTTCACAAGGTGAAAGCCTTATGTTATTATGCCGCGCTAGACTAAATCCAAAAATCCCCGCATGGGTTGGGTTTTTTTAAAAAATTCTGTTCGTTATAGTAAATTGTCTTCTATGTAAAACGGAGCGACCACAGATTACACAAACTTGTCCACGTTTGGGAGAAGACATGATTTCAGTTCATCCATACTAATTGACAAAGCCGATAATTGTGTTCCAATATCCAAAGCGTGTTAGATAAAAATCAATCAAGTAGCACAATCACAACGAAGTAAGACGAGTCGACTATTTGCAACTGCAAGTGCTTCATCATCCGTAAACCGTTTTGAGGTGTCTCAGAAAGAGCAAGCGCAGGATGGTCGTCAGGCTTTGTCGTATATCTGGTTGTATAGTACGATATGGCATCTTATTATGATTACTAATAATATAAAATGAAGGTACTAATATAAAATTAAATTATTCAGCTATCTAAAAAATATGCCCATGTGTCATATCTATTGACTACCAGGATATTTTTTACGGTGTCATATCTTTTGACTCCCAGGATATTTATTTTCCGTGTCATAATAAAAAAGGCTAGTTTTTCATAGATCTATCGATTCATACTAATTACATTGTTGGCGGAGCATGGTGCGTTTTGCCCATTGTCCTTTGGTGACTCATTTCTTTGTCGTACTATTCGTAAGCGGAATTCTTTACCCTTGTACATTTTTCCTCCTTCCTATAATCTGGGGTCCTTTAAGAGAGGCGTGAAGAAGCATTTTTGCAGGCCGGCAGGGTGAGGATGATTAGTGTGGCAGTTTATAACTGATGTACCAGCTATCTTCGCGTTTGGACTTTATCACCACTTAACATCAGGTGGGGTAGAGTAATTTGCCTACCTCGCTATAAAAAAAAAAACACGCAAAAAGTAATGAATGGGCTTGGATGGAATTTGGCACGCATATAGTTAATGGCATGGATTGAGAAATACGATACTTTTTATATCGATAAAATCATAGGTTCCTGTGGGTGGTTCTCAAAAACTATACTTAACGCGGACGAAGTCGTGGGCGGCCGCTAGTAAAAACATAATTTACTATTAGCGTTGATCTCGCGACTTGTTTGTTAATGAAAGCTGTTTTTACTTAATAGCTCTATGACGCTAACATAAATCTAAGCAACGGTATTTTCCACCAGTTGTTGTGATGATTCTAAATATAAAAATACATTTCCTTTTAAAACTATATTGGTATAAACCTTTGCGAGATCTGTCATTGAGATAAACTATATTAAGTTGAAGGTGATGGTATTAAAATGCGCCTTTATATTAATTTTTTGACGTTTCGCATCCTTTTCAGACTGCGTCATAATTCTGACGACGATGCAATGACGCATTTTGAACCTGTTTAAGAGTGTTTTATTTAATTTAGTTAGTGGTGTGCGTGAAAACCGATAAAAACAAATATGGTGAAAGTATTTTTAGATAGATAACATAAACATATCAAACAGTACTTATAGAATTTACCGTACCCAAATTTATGATCTAACTTTATACTACTTATACCGACAAAGTTAAAATAGTTTTATAATACAAGAAGCGAACTAAAAAACAAATATATTTTTGGTTGGTTCTATGTACAGACTTAAGTTCCACGTAGCTGTTTCATCATCATCAGCCTATTCATGTCCCCACTGTTGGGGCACAGGCCTTCGCTATGGATGGAATAGGGAGAATGTAGCTATAATTTTTAATATAGTTAATTTTAAATGTTTAATATTGGCAATAAGCTTACTAGGAGGTTTTAAAGCATGTGTGTTGATAAATATTTAAGTTCTTTTTACATAAGGACTTTCTCTGTAAGTCCTTTGTAATGGCATAATGCATTTTTTTGGAAATTTCTAGTAGATTATAAATATACGGTTTAAATTTCCTACCTTCTTTAAACGGAAGAAATCATTTCTTAAGCTTCTGCATACAGTCCTCTAAATAAATAAAAGAAATCCTGTGACGAATTTTAAGCTTTTAAATAAAATTTCATTTCAGGTCCACTTGTACCAATGTTCTTAAATCTAATTTTAAATCATATCATGTTAAAATATCATATCATGTTGTTTTTAAATACTCAATCTGCCTTTATTTGTCTTTGAACAATTGACAAAGATAAAATAATGGATTAAACAGAAACATATCTAATTTTAAATAAAAATATCGATGCAAGTGTCTCATAATTCAATAAAGTTATAGTTCAACTTTTGAGGAATTTAATTAAACTTGGCTTAATAGACCCTCATCACCGTGTAACATCTTAGACCCAAGCAATGCTGAATGTGGCGTCGTTAAGATATGACTATAGGAAGAGGAATAACGTACTCCTTTACCCTCAAGCTTTAAAGCTTTGCTAACCTCGCAAAGGAAACAATTCAACTAGGTATGTGTGGCGCACACGTAATGGATTTGTACCTTATTCTTCGGAAGCTATAAAAATTAAATTTAAAATTATTGTTTTTATATATATAATTATTGGGACAACAAATAATGTTATGATGTGCTTGAGGCAGTAATGTTTTTAATATTGCATAATAATTTTAACATTTTTGTGGTGTGGCAACTTTGATACTCTTGTAACCAGATAAATTTGTGTGACTCTTGTTGAGGCCAGACTAAAATATGTGGGTAATAAACCAAACACTTTTACACTTAAATAAAATATCAATTCATTTAGTTCATATTCAGTTGAATAGAATCCGCTCGAATTTGAGTGCCCGCCTGGGAAAGTAAAATCCTATCTACAGTAAAATTGTATACAAATTCAAAATCAATCAAAATCAAAAATCACTTATTCAGTCTTGGCTGTTACTAGCACTTGTGAAGGCCAAGTAGCTACGCCATCAGTCCGCAAAACAACGCCGGGAGACCTTGTACTGAGAATAACCGACAAGAAACTCAGAGATACTTTTGAAGTCACCTATTACACTACAACCCTTTGGTGGTGTTGTTTTCTGTCGATGAGTAAGTTTTCACGACACCACGGGGTTGGTTATTTGGTCTGGCAACGGCGCGAGTGATCTTTTTGGTATCGCAAGCATTTAAAAAATATGGTGGTAGCTTACCATCAGGCGGTCAGGCTTGTTTGCCATCCTTTTCACATTTAAAGTATATACGAGTATTTAAGTAATCGATTTTAATATCTTAAATTATTGCTAGATAGGTATATATTTAGCCGAGTAGAATTTTCTTTTAATGTGTCAGTGAGTCATTTTAAAAATAATATTTGTTTTTACTCTTCTTTATGTGTTTTTAACACGATGTAATTTTAAAAAATTGCAACGTAAGATAATCGCCTTGTGACGTCAAGAAGGGCAACATTTAAATTTGACCACACTAAACAAGTTTTGATACTTTTTACAGTGTTATTATGACGCGGTTGTACCATTATATTAAGATGATCTCTGAAGTCGTATTCATAACCGATTATTTGTTCCTTGAGAGCAGTTCTCACTGCTTGTATCTATTTAAATAAAATTACTATTATAAATTTTACTAGTGAAAATGTTGAATAGAAACTGTGTTGTTATTATTAGCACTTTGCTGTTTCTCGGTGATGCAGCTTTTGGTATGTTCGTTTTGCATTTTTAACAAAAGAACTTATTATCATTGTTTTATATAAAGTTTAAAACATTTTAAATTGGCCGGCAGGGTGAGGATGGCTGGTGTGGCAGGTAGAACTGCTGTATCAGCTATCTTCGCATCTGGACTTCACCTTCACTTAACATCAGGTGGGGTGGTGTCGTTTGTCGGACCTATCTGTATAAAAAGCAATTCAATTTTCAATAGGAAATTCCACAAAAGAAATGTTTTTTTTTCAACTCAATATGAGTAAAAACTGTGTATAATTTTTCTGAATTTCAGTTGACAATTTAAGTCAATGTGAAATAAAAGATACAAATTGCCAAAAGAATTTGTTTCAAAACATACTGAAAGTTCAAAGCAAGACGGGAATCCCCGAATACAATATACCAGTGTTCGACCCAATAATTCTGAAGGACGTAAACGTGCCGGTTCTCAACGCGGCTAATTTGACTCTGGTCGAAGGAAAACTAAAGGGGTTGAGCGGTTGTGTCTTCAATGATTTCACGTAAGTTACAGCTACTTTTAATTATTATTTGTGGAGTGTAAAATAAGCTTGGCCGGACAATTGATCCACCATTATTTTGCAATTTATAATAATATCTTTGTGATGATTGGGTTCGTATCAACTACGGAACTCTATTATTAATTAAAGGCAATTTGAAATGAAAACTTTTTTAGCGACGTTGTACACTTTTTTGTATGGGTAAAATATGTTAAACTTGCGTCAGGTTAAACACGTGGACTGATCGCATCATGGCACACAATAAAATTGGAAAGGTTGTTGACTTTCAATATATTGGACGAAACATAGTAATATTTTATTTTATCGTATTATAATAATAAGTCTCTATCTAAGACGTCCACGTGGTAGCTTTATTGCGAAGAAAATGCATTTTAGATGTCGCTAGATGCGCTTAAATGTAATTCATGTAAGGTGATTTCTTTATAATAGATGTCGCTAAGTGCGCTTATACGTGATTCATGTAAGTTGATTTTTATGAGAGATATACTTTTTTAAAGTAATATAAATTCTCATGTTTGTGTACGATAGCGCAATAAATAAATATTGTATTCTACCACATACATGATAGTACTTTTATACAATTAAAGCAATTCGTGCAAATTTATTCCCTAACCCCGTGGAGCCCTGGAACCATACCCATAGAAACAAAAAACCACCAAAAGATATGGGTTTTTTACTGTGATCTTCTGTAATGTGGAGATTAGTTTCTCATTAGCGCGTTCCAATTCGAACGGGAAAGCCGCTATTCCGTACCTCTCATAAACTGAATACGAACTCAATGAACTGATATTTTATAGAAATTCGGTATATATGTAGCTCATTACTCAAATCGGTTCCTTTTTATTCCGGAAAAATGTTAGATTTGGTATGGAGTTAGCTGACACCCTGGATTAACACACGTTACGCTTACGTTTTACTGCGGGAAAATATCCCTAATGTACCGCGGGTAACACCGGGGAGCACAGCTAGTGAACAATAAAAATCAGTCGCGTTGCGAAAACACCCGTAGTAGAAAAAATAAAGTTTTCCTTTCCAGGTACAATAATCCAGTGTATTTGAAATGCTAACAGCCTTATACTATAATGGTACGCAGCCCCAAGGTTGTTTCATCGATAGTAAAATGTTACTATAGTTAAATCCTATAGAAAAAATAACCATCTGTCAAAATTTTTCACTATGTGTTTGGATGAAAAAACGTGTGCTAGTCCAACCGCACTTGGCCGGTTTGTTATTGTTTACTTTTGATACAATAAATATTTATTTTCCGAACAAGGGCCTACTTATATATTGTTGTCGGAATCTTACAAATGCCATTCGTGACTATTAGTATTTCAAATTATGTGTTAAATACGTAAATAAAAATTTACTTATTGAAAAGAAAACACGAAAATTTTTAAATATTTTGAATGCTTTAGGCCTTTTAATGATCCGTTATTTTGAAATCATTATATTACTGTACGTATAAAAACTAATGAAAATAACACGTGTTCACTGGTCAAAGCGGCGAATGGAAAATATGGGCATCTCAAAATATAAAAAGATAAAAAACTATACTAAGCTATAATTAGTATTTTAAAAATAACTTCATTATAGACTGGTAAAACTAGTTCTTATATAAATCTATGACGTAGGCCGTAAAATACTAAGTATAAGTTTTATGTAGGTAGATAAAATTTAAGCCATGCTGTGATGATGTTATTTAATCAAGGCCTTAGTTAATTTGTTACATTTAAAAAAAAATGTGGCTCCACATTTTACAAGTATTTCATTTTTTAAAACTAATAAAAATCAAACTTACCTTTTTAGTAAAGGAAATAAGTTCTCATAATTAATTTTAAATTCATAATTTATTTTAAGTTATTAAATAATGTATTTGAAATTCTTAAATAGTTTTATTTACAATGCTACTTGGGACTAGTGTACATAGATATTTATTTTATTGCCAATTACACGATGTTTAAGTTCGTAAATTCGTATCAAAGTAATTTTAGTCTAATATTACTTTGATACGAATGAAATAAAAATGACGATATTTAACTTAAGATTGTAATAATTTTAATTGAGGAATATTATCATAGAACTTTTTCATTTTTGAATATGTTTCTTTATTTTTACATATTGTTCTCTTTTATAAAATCCTTAAATTTTGTAAAAAATATAAAACTGAGCATAGCTAGAAATCAGAGCTCTAATATACATTTTTTTTACTTAGATATGTTTCTAATTGGATTATTTAATTTGGATATTTTTTTTTTGGTTTCTGAGAAATTGCCTCATGCATCCTTCAACCACTGAGGGAGCGAGAAGAAGGTATGTGGGACTACTCCCTGTTCATTTCAGCCAGCCTTGTGGCCGGAAAAAATAAACAGGGCCCTAGCATACGCCCTGAACAGGGCCACTAAAACCCAGACAATACCTATATGTTATGCATGAGTTTACTCTATGTAATTAAACACGAGTACCTAGCTGAACGATGATAACGATAACATTATATCAAAAGTCCACTTTAGCAGACTGCAGGTGCAATTTAGTTATTTTTGCAGTATGAAATTTGGAACGCATGTAGTTTATGACCTAATTGAGACATAGCATACTTTTTATACCGGAAAAATGTTAGGTTCCTGAATAATTCTGAAAAAGCCAAAATTGACGCGGACGAAGTCGTGGGCGGCCGCTATTAGTTTTTATAATAAGAACACTTTTTAAACGGAAAATAGTTATATATTGACTTTTTTCATTTTTCTTGATGTTTTGACGCTTTACACGCGGCAAGAGACCACCGGCTTTATACACGTTTAACAAGTTTTGGGATTCAAAGATTGGCGAATGTGAAAACATAAGATTTTTGAAGTGAAACTTCTTTACGCACTCTTGACTTGGGGAGTAAGCTGGCGAACGCGTTACGAAAAGTGTAAACGGGCGAGGCGAACGGGAGTTGAGTGGGGGATATAAGCAAGAGAAAGCAGTTCGCGCGCACATTTTCTTTCTCTCTTTCTCTTATAGCTAGTAAATGAAATATGTATATGTTCATACATGTATACATATATTGGACACACATGCACACATATATATATATATATATTAGGCTGTTGATGATGATGATGATGATGATGATATATACATAAAGATGGAGCTAAAAAAGTTTCACTTCAGTCGTGTAGTCATAAGTACACTCTTTTTTTATTTGTAAATGTTTTAGTTTGTTTTTATTCGCAGGACGCACGTCGACAGTGGACTCGCATCAGTGGACATGACATGTGATCTCACGCTTTCTGGGAAGTACACGGCTTTCTCGGACAGCGAACTAATCAAGTCAGTCTTGGGAGGCGACTCAATTAGAGGCGATGGGAAAACTAAAGTCAAGATAGGTGAGTAATCCTCCACTACTATTCTGTAAGAAAAAACTCACTTTTCACCGCTAATCCGAGGTGGGATTTGAAATTTATATTCTAATTTGAAATGACACGCGGAATCTGCGACGAAAAGTGAGTGTGTTCTTGTAGAAAAGCACGGTTGGACTTAAAATCATCATAAAAGTTACCCTTTTTTTTCCCCCGTGGGGGAAATGCCTTACGCATACCCGCTCACTGAAAACTGGTGAGCGGGTTATGTCGGGCTCTCCCCTGCCTACCCACTGGACGAAATGTAGCTTCCCCATCAACTCTGGCAATAGGCGTCGCTATTGGACCGAAACGCACACATAGCTAGCCGGTGCCAGTTGCCTGCCACATGAGGCAGACCCACCTCTGGAAAGGGAGCTAGGTTGCACCCTCCCCGATCCCTTCGATAACGCGCCGCAGGACACATTGGCGTATCATCTTCTCTCATGAACCTAGTTTTTGTACAGCCACCAGACAACCCTTGTGCCTGGTGTCTAAGGTCCCTACTGCGGAGACTGTATACGGGTATTACCCCGCCGTCGACTCCGCTTTCTCCTTATTGGCTGTGCGAGTGGATCCGCTTCTCGGAGGCGCTCCTCGTCCTCTCTTTGCAGCATTATTCCCTCACTAAAATATGACACTGCCTCCCAAGCTTTCTTGTCTTCTACCATTTTGGCCATGACGGCCGATAGTGACAGGTTGTCTCCTATAGCTGCGATCAAAATAGTCCGTAGCTCGTCGTACTTTGGGCACTCCTCAAGTGCATGTTGCGCCGTGTCTTCATGGCAGCCGCACTGATGACATTCCGGAGTTGGTTCCCTTTTTGCTACCTTATATAAGTATCTACCAAAACAGCCGTGTCCGGAAAGAACCTGCGTGAGTCGGAAGGTTAAGGATTCGTACTCACAACCAACCCAGCTCTTTAATATGGGGACTATCGCCTCTAGTGTTCTTCGCCTAGTTCCTGGGTCAGCAGCATCCAGCTCCTGCTGTATCCTTTCACCCCAAGTTGTTATCGCTTCGTTTTGAGCATCTTGACGTCATCGAGCCACCTCTTCGATTGTGGGTCCTGCTGTCTTCCCTTTTTCTTCTGCCAGTATAAAGAAGATAGGACCTCAGCATCCATGTCCTAAGGTATTGATCCAGCTAAAGCACAGGCTACCGAGTAGGAAATTGTACGATACCCCCGGCAGACCCTTATTACCATGGCGCGCTGTGCTCTGTGGAGTAGCACTGTATTGGGTCTTCTCAGAGATTCTGCCCATATTGGGGCTCCATATAGGGCCATGGAGCGCACAACATTCATATATAGTTAGCGGCAAACTCGGCCTCCTCCACCAATATTCGGTAAAAGGGAACTAAGTGCAGCCGCCATACGCATTAATTTTGGAACCAGCTGCCGATGGTGTTCTTGAAAGTTCCACTTACTATCGAACACTACTCCTAGGTATATCATAAAAGTTACCTACAGCAAGCGCCGGCAACCTTTCTATATGGTAATTCCTAGAGAAGGCCTACGTCCATCGGCTGATAATGACGATGAATAAAAAATTAGAAACTTTGCTTGTTTTTGATAAATTAAAACACTACAATTGTGAACAATGATCCGGATTACCTTCATTTCAGATGCTACATTAGTTTCTCATTTGTAGGGAATTTCAAATGACTCAACAGTTGTTTTCATAATGATAAATTTAGCACATATTCATTATTTAGAATACAATTGATCACATCAACTGAACCGCTTGCATTGCTCTTGAGTGTATTACGCAATGTAAATGAGGCGTTATCCTAAAACATATGAGCTTTTTGCTAAACCAACCTCATTTATTAACTTCACGTAAGAAGAACAATAGCATAGTCATGATGACATTCGTTGGAATAGCAACAAGGTTTCTCTTAATGCAATAAAAAATAAATGAATAAAGGATAATTTTACGAATCGGTAAATAATTGAATCGTAGCAAATTCTAACATTTGAGCAAATAGATAATATGGAATACGAAACAGACACTAAGTTTTATTAAATCACCTTAAAAGGAACCTTCATTTTCTTATATTGATAGTCTCAATTTTGTTCATTATCAAGGTAAAATTTCATACCACTAAATTGATTGGTTAAATCATAAATTCGGATGCAATATCCGGTATAAAATCTATTAAAGCCACGGCTTACTGAGATTGACGTACGAGATCGTGCAGAGAACGCACTAATTGAATGCAGAATTAAAAAAAATCGATATATGGGAGACTCGAATTTATGTGACGTTGTCTGTTAAATAATATCATCACAGCATGGCTTAAAGGCTTTTATATTGACAAATGAATAGCTCCAACTCGATTGTCGAAGTTAGTGTATTATTATAATAAAGTTCTTAAATTAAATTAAACCAATCGTATGTAAACCTTGTTTTGATGCTTTAAATTTAAAGTTGAAAATAGTTTATAAGGATGAAATGATGTTTAAAACAGGTTTAAGCTTTATTTTTTTTTGTAAATTATAAATATGTGTTTTTGCTCCACACCTAAAAAACTTCCATAACGAGTGTTGTGGTAGAGGAAAAAAATATGGACGGTTCAAAAGAGTTGTACCATGCTTGTATTTTCATTAAAAATTTTTGGAATGCTGTTGCGAGTAGCCTAGCCCTTGATTTTTATTCAAGCCAAAATCTTAAGAGGTAGGAGTAGTCTGGCAGGAGTCAGTGGATTTTCCACCTGAATCGGAGTCCTCATCTGAGAAATTCCTGTTTACCATGGAGTAGACTACAAATAAAATTAAAAAATAATTTGTTGTGCCGTAAATTACTGCTAAAAAGGTTACTACAAGAACTAAGAAATTAGTGACGTAATTTCCCCGAAACTGTTCACCGCTGCATTGGAAGACGTCCTCAAGCTTCTGTATTGGACCGATCTCGGCATCAACATCAACGGCGAATACATCATTCACCTTCGATTTGCAGACGATATCGTGGTTATGGCAGAATCCCTGGAGGACCTTGGCACAATGCTCAATGACCTCAGCAGAGTTTCCCAATGGGTTGGTTTAAGGATGAACATGGATAAAACCAAGGTCATGTTCAATGTCCATGTCACTCCAGCACCAGTATCTGTTGGGAATGCGATTCTCGAAGTTGTCGATCATTACGTCTACCTAGGACAAACAGTCCATGGGCAGCGTTCGGGAAGCTTAGGCACATCCTCACGTCCAAAATTCCCCAGTGCCTGAAAAGAAGGGTCTATGACCAGTGTGTGTTACCAGTGATGACTTATGGGACTGAGACGTGGTCTCTGAATGTCGGCCTCATAACAAAACTCAAAGTCGCGCAGCGTGCTATGGAGAGGGCTATGCTCGGTGTTTCCCTATGTGATAAGATCCGAAATACGGAGATCCGTAGAAGGACCGGTGTGTACGACATAGCCCGAAGAGTTAGCACGCTGAAGTGGCAATGGGCAGGCCACATCGCTCGAGGATCTGACAACCGTTGGGTAAGAAAGGTCCTCGAGTGGCGACCACGTACCGGACGACGCAGCGTGGGGCGGCCCCCAACACGGTGGACTGACGACATTGTCAAATGTGCTGGGAACCGCTGGATGCGGATAGCGCAAGACCGCGCATTGTGGCGTTCTATGGGGGAGGCCTCTGTCCTGCAGTGGACGGAAAAAGGCTGATGGATGGATGGATGAGAGGAAGGGAAGTTACGTAGCGTTACGTATCGAAGCGGTTTACCCTCCCACTAGAAGTTATCACTTGAAAAAAGTCCTTCCTCAGCTGAGAATCGTACAAGGGCCGCCGGCGTAGCAAACCAGCTTTCCACGGAACCACCAATGCTTGTTGATACGGTGAAAATTCAAATAAAAAATGTAATGCGACATTCTAAAGATGAACGAAAAAAATGCGGCGATGTAATAAAAGATTCACTTAAATAATACTAAATTTGTTTTCTTTTTCAGAAAAACTTAATATGAAATTCGACTTCAAGTTTAAAGTCATTAAGAAAGACGGCGAAACTTACCTAAAGGGTAAGGATGGCAGCTTATCGTACAAATACGATGTTTTGGGCAAGGTTTCATTCGCCGCCAACAATCTATTTATGGGCGACCAGGATGTCAGTGAGTACCCTTTTTATAAATTACAAGTACTTTAGCAAGTAGAACGGTAGGTATTTGACCTCCTCCATGGCCGAGTGGTTTTTACAAGTTGTCGCCTGCTCGACGGTTCGAATCCCGGTGGGAGCAGATGGTTGTGTGATGAATACGAGTATTTGTACTCCAGTCATGGATGTTTAATATGTGTTTTTATATAAATATATTTATATATAACAGTTTATGCGTTCTATCCGTTACCCTAGCATCCCATAACACAAGCCTTATAGTGCTTACTTTGGGGCTAGACTAATTGATGTGTGTGTGTGTTTTTTATTAACTATTCAAAGCAGAAGGTAGATTGGCCTCTTGGTCACCCATCCGATTACCAGTTTCTGAGAAAGTAGTTTTCCTTTTGCAATAACAGATCGTATGCACGTACCACTGCGTTAGGGAAAATATTTATAAATAAGTAAATGATTCACCTTGATTTGAACTTAACCTTTGTTTGATATGATTATGCAAATCAGATTAACCACAAGATCTAAAAATAGTATGATTTTTAACGTCAGCAGTAATAGCAGTAATGATGCATAAGGCTTTTTATTATAAATTGCTTTTAATTACAAATTCCTAGTCTAAGATCGAGACTTATAATTTTGTTTCGAATGCATGATTGCTGATTATCTTTTTATAGTAACTATGCATACAATTAAATCGTAAAAACATTTTCTTTGATTTTATTGGTGTACAGGTTTTGAAATTCGGAAAATAGTAGTCAATAAATTCATACAACACAGTATCGAGCGAATATCGTCAAAAATAAGCCACAATTTTTTTCATAGTAAATGCGAGGTCACTTTATTACAAAGAACGTCCTTAAAGTTATGTAATATAGGAGGAATTATTGTCAAATTACCAGTATACTCGACCTACGACTTTCAAAATGTGATTTTAGGATTAATTGTATTCACCAGGGCCCACCCTGGTTGATGGTGTAGGTGGTTAGCGCATTCCGCCTGCGATCGTGAGGGTTAATCAAATTTCGCAAGGTTGGTCATTAGATTGGTGATTAAAAACCAAAATCTAGAAGGGCTTAACGTGCCTTCTGAAGCACGGAGAAGGCGTAATCTGCAATCGTTAGCACCCGCCAATCCGCACTAGGGCCGCGTAGTGGGTCACGGTCGGGATCAACTTTCCAGTCTCCTCATTCCATCAATAGGAAAAGCCTGTGCCCCTGCAATAAGGACATTAATAGGCTGATGATGATATATTCAACAGCCTTTCCATTTTGACAGAAGTAGGCGAGAGCGGATTGGAGTCTCCCTCTGAAGAAGTAACCTAATTAAGTAAATACAACACCGCAGTGAAATATTGATTAAACATTGGTTTTCTTGAGTTAGTGATAGATGTTGAGTAAGTTTTCTAGGGCTCCACTGGGGAAGGGACAGGGTTAGGGTAAACTACAGGCATGTAAAAGGTACTCTGATATTGGAAATATCTTTTTATTAGGGTGGACGATAACAATAGGAGAGCCATAAGCTCGGTTTCCACCCTTACTACATAAAAAGTGGCAAAATTAAAAATCTTCTATTTTTTCGAGTGTGTAATATTAAGCTTTAGACGAGATCCTTGAGTCAGGAAGTGGCGAATGACTTGACTCGTTGAGATAGGTAGGGCATAGTGAATTTGAGCGCCCATCTGGCTAAGTAATCTTCACCTTACAGAAGACAACAGTAAAATAACACTAACTTTTGCTAGTGATAGTCCATGGGGTCACATTCGGTTAGGGTAGGCAATGGTGCGAGTGATATTTTTGATATCGCAAGCATCTAACACTAATTTGCCACCCTTATAACATAAAAAAGTAGGGAAGTCATATGTTCTTAGAACTTCAAATTGAAACATAATTGATTAAATAAAAATTGTCTTTTCTTTTTAGGTGTCACCGTAACAAACTTGTTGAACCAAAGCTGGAAACTCGTCATGCAGACTGTTGGAAATCAGCTGATGAGCAAGGCCATGGAAAGAGTGAAGGCCCTCATCGGAAATCTCTTCGATCACGTTCCTACTAAGTACTTTATTAGCGAAGACCTATCAGCTTACGTTACGAACTAATTTAAATTCGGAAAATGCCTTGTGATATTTGTATTAAGTCCGTTTAATTGGAATTAAAAACATATGAGTTGTTGAGCAATGAAAAAAAGTATTAATATACGACTAAGGATTAATCTTGCCTTTTTTTGTACAGTTTCTTTATATGTTTTTCTTCATAACCGTCCTTACCCAATAATTCATAGTGCATTACATACTAATGGTCGTATCATATTTCTCTTGGCAAGTAAGCTTCCAGGGTACTTTGAAGTAGCAAATTGGGTTTAGACCGGTAACTAGAGGGTTTTGCTGATGCATCAGCTGTATTAGGTACATAAATGATGAAGTATTATACTATATAAAATTGGATGAGGTAATAGGCTGCTCATTCTATAAATATATATGTGTATAATTTGCAATATAAAATGGTGTCACAATGATTTTCAGCTTATAAATAAAACAAATATTTTTAATAATTTAGCTAGGTACTTATCAATTGTTATTTGTCAATTTCATCTATCTGAAACGAATGCAAATCGTTAATATGACTACTGTAAGTCCAGATTACTGTGAATCTGCTATAAACAAAAAACAAACTGAATTTGTTCAATATCTCTTGAAACCCAAAAATTAAACTTATTTAAGGTTGGCATAATCAAGTATACGTTTTCTTAACAAGACCAAAAAAATTTAAGAAAAGCACTTTGTTCATACTAAATGGGCATTCCCCTTTACGTGTATAATTTAACACCATAACTCTTCTTGTTGAATAGGTAACTTGTTACTTGTTGTGGGCCCCCGTTTCCGCACGTAGACTCTTAATTGGTCCATTGTGCGTGCAGGGTTGATTGGGCTAGCTAGCTCAGCCAGCCCAGCTCCTTCCAGAAGCGTAGTAGTCTCCTGGGACTCTCACAGGCTTCTAGGAGCGTCCTCGGCGTCCCGAGGATTGATGCCCGGTGTTCTGCCACACTCATGTACTCCAGGATCACATGAGCGGCCGTTTCATCTGCTTCTACACATCCTATGCACAGAGAACTATCTGTAACACGTATGGTTAGTAAATGCTTATTTAGCAGGCAATGCCCAGCAATGTTATAGTGCCCAGCATTACTCGGAGATCAATTCGGTTAAAATTTAGTAGTTTTCTAGTTAGTCTTAGATTGAGGCTAGGGAAGATAGCCTTAGATTGCCTGCAGCCCTCGGTATTGGCCCAGCGTGTGTTTTGGCTCTGTATGGTTTGCTAGCGCACCCATGCACGAATTTGGTTAAAGGGTAACGGCAGGAGCGGCTCAGGGCCTTCTACTATATGTGCTGATCCCCTTTTAGCCAGTACATCAGCTGCGTCATTACCCATAGGCCCAGATGGTACATTCTTAGCGCTGCCATTGTTGCCTCTTGCTGTATCAACAGATCAAGTGGCAGTAGGTCTAGCGCTATTTCTAGGGCGTCTGTCGGTGTGGATTTCATGAAGCCTGTAATTGCTGAACATGCAAGCCTTTGAAAACGCTGCAGTTTGTTTTTAACGGTGGCTAGTTCGATTCTAGGCCACCAAACTATTGCACCGTAGGTGATGAGTGGTCTGATTATGGTTGTGTAAAGCTATTTTGTGATTTTTGGTGTTAGACCCCAGGTTTTACCGAGTAGTCGTTTGCACTACCAAATAAATAGGTAAAGAAGTTGACTCCTCTACGAATATACAATAGTGTTATTACTACCAGATTATTAATAACAATGCCGTAGCATAATTTGATTGGCAATGCACTGATTTTAGAAAATTATATAGAATCAAACGAAAAACATCCAGTTTGTAAGCAAACACCAAAAAAATCCGTAGTATTTATGTAATTACACTGTGTAATCACAAAATAGATAGTGCAGAAGGTGATCTCTTCTTAGCTACACTTGGCGGTAGCGCTAGGATTGTTAACTTTGGTTTGTGAAAAAAAAACTTGGTGTGACACTCGTACGTATCAAGGTGTTTGATTTATTGTTGAGAATGAAACGAAGAATGTAAATTAAAACCAATAATAATAATAACTGAAGTATTACAATTTTAATGTTATTATTGTATATTGTACCTACAAATTAGAAAAAACGACAATTCACCATATATTATTGAATTCAAACCATGTATCTATTTCATTCTTGCTTATTGAAAAATCAGGTTCCTGGAGGACTCATGAAAAGTTACTTAGAAAGAGTTAACATTTACCAAAATCGAGTTATCGTACTTTTCGTCAGCGCGACAGAGTACCTACGAGTGCGAAACACAATTAAATTAATTAAAAATTAATTTTATAAGTTATTATAAATAACTGTTTAGTAGACAAACAGTTATTTATAATAACTTATAAAATATTTTTGCTTCATTTTTGCACAAAAAGTTCCCAGACGTGTGTTTCGCACTCGTAGGTACTCTGTCGCGCTGCTTTTGATTTTTGCTTCATCAAAAATATTTTATAAGTTATTATAAATAACTGTTTGTCTACTAAACAGTTACTTATAATAACTTATAAAATATTTTTGCTTCATTTTTGCACAAAAAGTTCCCAGACGTGTGTTTCGCACTCGTAGGTACTCTGTCACGCTGACGAAAAGTACGATAACTCGACTTTGGTAAATGTTAACTCTTTCTAAGTAACTTTTCATGAATCCTCCAGGAACCTGATTTTTCAATAAGCAAGAATGAAATAGATACATGGTCTTTCTTTCATTTAAAATGCTATGTTATTTAGGAAAATACGTCGTGTTTTTTTTTCAAATTTCACGTGTTTGTTTCCCAATTGTAGCAGACGATTTTTAAAAAATCTGTGTTTGCAGTTCTTGTTATTATTAAAAATTAAATGATGTCGTCTTTCAGTAAAATATCCTATCTTCAATATTTAATATACTTTCCCTCCGCGTGACAAACCCGTAGGACGCTTGAGCTCGTTATTCTCGGAAGAAGTTATTTCGAGTTGTTGTACTCTTTATTAGCGCGGTAGTACCCAAGCGGTCAGAGATGTCGTGTCTATGTTTGCGTTGCTTGAGCGCACTTATAGATTACCTTAGTGCGTATGTAGATTACCTTCTGTACTATCTATTTTGTGGTGTAATCTTGCATAATAACAATCTATAAATCTAGTAGTAAGAAATCTTTGGTGGATAGCTCTGTTTGCTATTGGCAGTGACCTTTATGGCGTCGTACTAAGAAAAATTTTCCTAATGCAAATGTGTACACTGACATAACCTTGACTGTACGCAACCGACTTAATAATCATTAAGCGGAACATTGTGAGTTATTTGAATATTTATTTTTCTCGCTTGAGATTTTTCGAGGAGTTAGGTAAGTATTAGTATTAATTTATTCAAAGGTAGCGTGAATAAATTGAATAAAAAAATTCAAGAACCTTCCCTGTATTGAATAGAGAGTGATTGAAAAATGTGAGTTTTAAGGATTAATAATATTTTAGCTCTTCAATCAAGGTCACCTTTGTTAAAGGTTATTGATATAAAGTTTTACTCCACTATGCCACATTAATGAGAAATGCCATTAATTATCGCGATGATGTACGTTTACGACACAGTACGCTCGCAATCTGAGTGCAGCTCTGGGGAATGCGCTAGTGCTCAAACATAGTGCAGCTCTGGGGAATGCGCTAGTGCTCAAACATAGCACTGCAGGCGTGCGAGGCATCGGAGTGTGGGGTCCCAGCACTTGGAAATTACATAAATAACGCAAGAATCCATGAAAAAACATTTAATAGCTAAGACTGCAACATTTTTTTTTAAACTCAAACACTAACGGACTGCACTCAGATCGCGCGCGTACTGTGCGTTACACGTCCGTCATCGCGATAATTAACGGCATATCCCATTAATTTGGCCCCAGCATTACAAATGCTTTTGATTTTGATAACAGTAATGGTATAAGAACATAACAGCAATAAATTTAGGACTCGTAAAATGAAAACTAATTTACTAAATTCGTCGCTATAATATTTCGTGGGCAAACGACGTCATCAACTTTTAAAATGACATGTTTTTGCGACCGTAAATATTAATTGTTCTTCGCAACCTTGCTAAGTGGAACATGAAAAATGATGACCCTTACAAGCAGATTCCTTTTTAATTAAAACCGCTTTGCCGCTGCTTCGGATGCGGCATAGAGCTGGGCTTACAATGTTTCAGCAGTATAATACCTATATATTTTCAACAAAAAGTTCCAATATAGGGCACTCGTCCCACAGACGACGCTAAACGGGAAGCGAGTAGAGCTAGAAACTAGAAACGCGTTGGCGAGCAACGGGAGCGACTGTGTGGTTGTGATAGTTTTATCGCTGGACTATAAGCGAGTATATGAGTCGGCGGGAGATTACTCACGCCACTCGCTCGCGTAGACAATCCTTAACAAAAATGTACGCGCGCGCGCTTTGAGACAAGCGAGCATCGCTGAGCCAGTATCACTAAGCGGGTATTAGCTTTGCCAGCTCTTGTCGCTCAGCCACAAACTATTGGAGTGACTGATCGCCTGCAGTGTAAACAGTCAGCGATCACCTATCAATGTATGCATCTCTTTTGTTTATACGGTTTGCATAAGTATTGTTTCTTGAGCGAGAAAATAGCCGATAGTTAATCGTTTGCTCGATGGCGGTAGGACAACTGCCTCGTAAGCACGCTCGTTTTTAATTTGTTTCGTTACCTTCTCAATCCTTTCTAATTTAAAACTTCGCAGTATCTCGCGGAAATTAAATAAAATGGTAAAAAGCTTTATTCTAATTTAGTACTTATTCAAACAGACTTGACTTCAAAACATTTACAACAGGTAAAAATATATGAAACAAATCTAAAGGAAGAAAAATTTATAGAAGAAAAAATTCCACGCAGACCAGACAGCAGACAGACTTCTAGCAATTTTTTGCTTAAAAAATAAAAATGCACACATTATAAGAAATGCAGTTTGTACTATCCATGTGATTATCTAGTTTATATAGCAAATTCGACATTGTCAGTACAAAAGAAAAAAGGCATAATTTTTAGGGTTCCGTACCTCAAAAGAAAAAAACGGAACCCTTATAGGATCACTTTGTTGTTCGTCCGTCCGTCTGTCAAGACCGTTTTTCTCAGGATCGCGTTGAAGTATCAAATTGAAATTCATATCTAATACTCAAGTCTACTGTCCCTTAGAGCTGTGAAAAAATTAAACTTCTAAGCCAAAGCAATCAAGAGTATATATTTCCACAAATTTTCGAAACTTGCACGAGATTTTAAACCTACAGGGTACTTTTCGTGAACTTAGAATCTTGAAATTTGGTACGAAGTAACATCTTATAGTACAGATAAAAGGAAAATTGCGAAAACCAAAAATTTTAAAGTTAGTACCTATTTTCTCATGAACGCGTAAAGGTATTAAATTGAGTTTGTACGGTACCCTCGGTGCGCGAGTCTGACTCGCACTTGGCCGGTTTTTGTTCCTACTGATACCAAGCTCGTTGTCAAAGGGCTATTGCTACATAAGGCCATTGTAAAAAAATCTAATAGATAATGAGGAAACCTCAGAATAATGATTACCGAAACTACGCTGTGCGTCGGTACGCCAAACTAATACCATTTAACTACATGCAGAATAAAAAAAAACAAAGAGAAGCTAATTGAATAAACTTTACAACTCCAAAAACATCGTTTGAAACGTTATTTTACCAATGTCGCTTCACCGTCGATGGTTAGCCAGTTGTGAGGGTGAATGATAGAAAAAAAGTGGAAATGGACGTTGAATACAACGGTTGGGTCGAGGGCTATACAGGAAAATGAGTCTCTAATAGCACTCGCAGTTACGCGTGACGTGCTCATAATCTCATACGAGAGTCGTTTATTTGGCCCCTAATGAACGGCTAGAAACCTACAATTTTAAATACGTTTATATAAACAGACAGAACTTGTGACGAGTTGGTTACTCTGTTCTCAAATGTGTCTTTTGTCGCTCGGCTCGAGTAGAGATGTACTGCCATGTAACCTTTTTTCTGTTCGCCTTAATTAGTCGTGTCACCTCCATGGAGTTGCGTAAGTACTGAAAAGAGGAGATGGTTTTTAGAGATTTGAATTGTTCAACGCCATAGTAACACAGCCTTTGTAAAATTAGTGTTTACTTTTTTATAATTAGATACTAGCAACGAGTCATTATAACCTGATGTTAAATGTAAATAATAAGCTGGTTCTTTCATCACGGGCTGCGTGAAGTTAGAATGATGGGCACACAATTTTTATTGTATATGTCGTATAATGATTTGATAAATCGATTTTTTGCGAAAATCCTAAGGATTTTGCGTAAAATGGCGCATGACGCTAATATTGCTTTTTTGCTGTCGATTCGCCGGCTACTGCCGCGGCACTCTCGCTCGGCTCGCGTGTCATGGTCACAACACTAAGTGTTCGCGCTTGAACTACGCGCGGGAAATACGCGAACCGCCGAACACTACCGAATGATCACGACGGCGGCCGACGGGCGTTGTCGGCAACAATCGTTTTTTTATTATAACGGCTTGAGAGAAGACAAGACGCAGAAAATTGTACTCGCTTCCTTTGATTGCATACACATTATACTTATTAATATTAGCAAATCTGTAATTATCTTTATTGAAGATTAAATGCCTGTAAACGAATCAAGATTGGGATTATTATTTCCTGGAGTTAACAGGAAAAGTGGTGCCGTGACCAGGATTTAGACTGGAAGGAAGATTGCTGGTCTGGGATAGAAATTGGTGAGCCCGTTCCTATTCCTTTCTTTTAGATCCATCCCCTAGTTCTTTTGGACGAGTAACGTCGAATAAGTGTTATTGTGCATAGTAGATAATAAAAATAAGAGTATAAAGGTAGAAAAGGCAGTAATTTGCAAACGCGTATAATAGTTACCTACCTTCGCAAAGTAAAAAAAAAAAATATAAGTACTTAGTTTTTTGAAATTTGCATAAAGGTTTATCATTTTCTTTCAGGTTAAGTATATTTTTTGTAGTTGTTGTATATAAATATTGTAAATTCCAGGTCAAACTTTAAACAACTGCACCGGCCTTTCACCGATTATTGGATGTACCAAGCATATAATTTGATGCATCATTGGAAAGAATAAACAAATTAATAGCTATTTTATAACATATCACACCTGGTGAGTGGTGAGAGGATCCTTCGGAGAAGCAGTTCGAGGTATTTACTTAGTTTTTAGTATTGTATAATTTATTTCCTCTGATTTCTTATTTCCCACATCATTATGGCAGAAGCTCTTGATAAGCTCGTCAAAAGGCGCAGTTGTCTAAAAGGTCAATTAACAATATTTAAGAATTATTTAGAAATTATTCGGCAAATTGATATAAATAAATTAACTACGCAGCAACTTTCAGAATTAAAATTAAGACTAAATAAATTAGAAAATAGTTTATCCGCCTTTGATAATCTACAAACCGAAATAGAAATATTAAGTGACAATTCTTCTGATCAACTCAATGAGAGGGAGTCCATGGAAAATGATTTTTTTTCTTTAATGTCTAGTTCCCAATCTATCATAGAGGAAGCGAGTATCATTGCAAATAGGAGGCAAAGTTTATCAGACACAGTTGTCAATCAATCAAATAATACAGGCAATGTTCTAGTAAATAATAATATATCTCTTCCTACCATCAAGTTGCCCATGTTTGATGGATGTTATAGTAAGTGGTTGGAATATAGAGATACTTACATTTCGTTAATTCATAGCAATGACAGTATAAATACCATAAATAAATTTCATTATTTGAGGTCCTCATTGGAGGGTAGTGCTGCATTGGTGATTAAATCAATTGAATTTTGTTCTGATAACTATATGGCTGCATGGTGCCTTCTATGCGACAGGTACAACAACAAAAGGTTGTTAATTAATAATCATTTAAAGGCACTTTTTGGTATAGAAAATATGATAAGGGAGTCTGACACCTCTCTTCGTTACATTATGGACCATGTGACAAAAAATTTAAATGCTTTAAAAAACTTAGGTCAACCAGTTGAACACTGGGATTCACTCATTGTTTATTTAATTGTAATGAAATTAGACAATTACACTAGTAGAAAATGGGAAGAACATAAAGGGTCTCTCAGTGATATTCCAACATTAGAGGAATTCTTTTGTTTTTTAAGGAATAGAGCAGATTTCTTAGAAACTGTAAAGTATAACAAATGTTTTAATAAGAATGATAGGGTATCAACATTTGTAACATCTGGCCAAGCGTCAAATAGTAACAACTATAAATTGAGCTGTATAGTATGCAAGCAAATGCATCGTTTGTATGAATGTCCTAAGTTCATTTCCATGACCTTGGAGGAACGTAATAATTTAGTATCGAAAAATAAATTATGTGTAAATTGTTTGAGCGTTGGACATTACGCAAAAAATTGCCGTAACAGTCCGTGTAAAACCTGTAGATATAAGCATCATACCTTATTGCATAGGTCTAAGGTACAAAATAGCAGTGTCGTAAATAATAATTCACAGTCATTCGTATCACAAGTGCATAGCGATCATCTGTGCGCGGCCGCTTCAGAACCGGTTTCGTTATCTACGACTGAAGCGGCGGTGGCAATCCCCGCACAGCATGTTCTTTTGTCTACGGCGCTCGTTCAAGTAGTAAATATTATTACAAAGGAAGTATTTGTAGTGCGCGCCTTACTGGATAGCGGGAGTCAAATAAGCATGATAACCGAAAATTTACGCGCCAAGTTGGGATTATATAGTGTAAAAACGAGCAGCCTATGACGGTATCAGGCATAGGAAATATTAAGTTAAGTATATCGGATAGATGTAAATTAGTAATGCGATCGATGAAAGGTAATTTCTCGACCGAAATAAGTGGCATGGTAGTAAAAAGTATAACTGGTATGTTACCAAATGTAAATGTAGACGTGCAGTCTTTGAATATACCTAAAAATATTATGGTAAAATTAGCAGATCCTCAGTTTCATGTATCCGCTGAAGTAGATATATTAATTGGAGCGGATTTATTTTGGGAAATAGTGTGGGGAAAACAAATACGGTTAGGTAAAGGTAAACCCATTTTGCAAAATTCTAGGTTAGGTTGGTTGATATCGGGTCCTTTGAGTACACAAGGTTCGAGTAAAAATGCAGTAAGCTGCCAACTTAGCTTTGATCTAAATAATATGGTAGAAAAATTCTGGTTGATTGAAGAAATTCCATCCACAGATTTAGTGAAAAATACAGAGGAGCAATTTTGTGAAAAACATTTTGTAGAAAATACGTATAGGTTACAAAACGGTAGGTTTTGTGTAAAAATTCCGTTTCATACTTCGCCTTATGACACATTAGGTGATTCACTTTTTATTGCAAAGAGACGCTTTTATAACTTAGAAAAAAGATTTAGAAAGCAACCGGATTTAAAGGAATCATATGTAAGATTTATAAACGAATATAAGGAATTAGGTCATTTATCAGTTTCTAGTAAATGCGACCCTGCTTATTATTTACCGCATCACCCGGTGCTGAGAGAGAAAAGTGAAACGACGAAACTTAGGGTGGTATTTGATGCATCTGCGAAGACCAACTCCGGGCGGTCGTTAAATGATGTGCAGGCTGTCGGTCCGATTATACAAGATGATTTGTTTAGCATCTTATTGAGATTTAGACAACATAGTTTTGTCATTACGGCAGACATAGAAAAAATGTATAGGCAGGTAATGGTCGACGAAAGTGATAGACATTGGCAAATGATAATATGGAGAGAAAATGAAGGCGAGAAGTTGCAATATTTTAAACTAAACACGGTCACATATGGTACTGCGTCTGCGCCTTTTTTGAGCACGCGTTGCCTTCATCAATTAGCTCAAGAATGTAATAACCCGAAAATAAAGGGTATTATCGAACACGATTATTACATCGATGATATTTTGACAGGATTTGAAACTGAGAAGGAATTAGAAACAACATTTAAATCAATTATAAATGTTTTGAAATCGGCAGGATTCAATTTGAGGAAATTTCGTACAAATTCAAATGTTCAATTCAATGAAAGTAACTCTAGTGATAATCATATAATAGCAGATGAAAAAGCGACTACGGGAACGTTAGGGTTAACATGGTCACCTTTGTCCGATAGTTTTATTTTTCCCGTAAGTATTTCCACAATGGAAAATATTACAAAAAGAAACTTGCTATCTGCTATAGCTAAAATATTTGATCCTCTTGGCTTGTTGAGTATATTTATTATTAAGGCAAAGTTAATAATGCAACATTTATGGAAATGCAAATTAGAATGGGATGAAAAGGTGACAGACGAGATTATGTTAATGTGGTCAACCTTTGTAAATTCGGTTAATTCACTGTCTTGTGTGAATGTGCCAAGACATGTGTTTTGTAAAAATGTAAAAATTATTGATATACATATATTTTCAGACGCCTCTCAAGCAGCATATGGCGCCTGTGCATATATACGCTCAGTGGATCAGAATGGAAGGGTTTGGGTAAAGCTGTTATGCGCAAAATCAAGAGTAGCTCCCTTGAAGTCCACGACGATCCCACGACTTGAGCTGTGCGGTGCGCTACTAGCTGCTGAGTTGAGCGCCAAGGTTAGGCTAGTCCTGCGTTGCCAGGTAGGGCGTTGTGTGCATTGGACGGATTCAATGGTAGTTCTCGGGTGGCTACATACCTCTGCAAGTCGGAAATTAGAAGTGTTTGTGGCAAATCGAGTAAACAAAATTAAAACTTTGACAGAAAATTATGAATGGAGGTATGTTCCCACCGATGCGAACCCCGCAGATCTCGTTTCAAGGGGTGTAGATAAATTTGAGGAAAAAATTGCAAATTTTTGGTGGGGAGGCCCCGAGTTCTTAACTCAGGATGAGTCACAGTGGCCTGCCAAAAAGTATAATTCGCAGAGATGTCATAACTATGATGAAAAAATTATTATCTTGCAAACTGTAGTAGATAATGAATTATCTCAAATATTTAATAAATATTCTAATTTGAATACCTTAAAGAGAGTAATGGGCTATATATTACGATTCATAAATAATTGTCAAAAATCGCAAGTAAAAATTACATCGTCATATTTAACTACAGAGGAATTACAAAACAGTATAGATGCTTTAGTAAAATTAGCTCAGTCAGAGTCATTCGGGAAAGAAATACAGGCACTGAAGAAAAAACAGTTTTTAGACCCCAAATCTAAGATTTTGTCTCTGAACCCATTTTTGGATGAAGTAGGTATGATTAGAGTTGGTGGTAGAATAGATAATTCGAAATTTAGCTACGATAAAAAGCATCCCATGCTTCTTGACGTAAAGCATCGCTTATCAGTCCTTATTTTTGAACATGAACATAGGCGTCTTATGCATGCGGGCCCTCAATTGCTATTAGCCGCGGTACGTGAGCAGTTTTGGGTCACTAACGGTAGAAACCTTGCCAGAAGTATACCTCACAAATGTGGAATCTGTAAACGTTTTCGAGCAAAGACACTGCAGCCTTTAATGGGTAATCTGCCAAACCAACGTCTCACTCCGGGAATACCGTTTGAAACAACAGGCGTTGATTTCGCAGGTCCCTTTTATATAACTGATAGAAAGGGTCGTGGTTGCAAAATAAGCAAATGTTATTTATGTATTTTTGTCTGTTTTGCGACCAAGGCTCTTCATCTGGAAGCGGTAAGCGATTTAAGTAAAGATGCGTTTATTTTGAGCTTAAAAAGATTTATTGCACGACGTGGTAAACCAAAGAATATATTTTGCGATAACGGTACTAATTTTGTGGGAACTAAGAATGAATTGGATAGGTTAATTTTGCATAATAAAAATGATTTAACTCGGATTGGTTCCGATGAAGGAATCAAATTTCATTTCTCACCAGCGTATGCACCAAATTTTGGCGGACTATGGGAGGCCGGTGTAAAGTCGGCCAAATTTCATTTAAAAAGAATTTTAGGCGATAGACATTTAACTTTTGAAGAGCTTACGACGTTATTCGCTCAAATAGAATCTATCCTTAACTCTCGTCCTATCTGTCCCATGTCCTCCAATCCCAGTGACCTTTGTCCTCTCACACCTGGGCATTTTCTCATCGGACGGCCAATGACAGCACTTCCATCGCCGCAGTTGATAGACGCAAAGATCAGCAGATTGGATCGCTATAAACAGTTGGAACAAATGAGACAACACTATTGGTCACGCTGGCATAACGAATATATAGCAGAACTACAGCATCGTATTAAATGGAAGCAGCAATATTACAGTTTGAAACAAGGAGATTTGGTTATTATTAAAGAAGACAACTTGCCACCATTAAAGTGGAGAATGGGGAGAATCCAAGCTTTGTTTCCTGGTAAAGATGGAATTCCTCGAGTCGCGGACATTTGTACTAGCAATGGAGTAATTCGAAGAGCTTTGAGTCGACTTTGTCCTCTTCATTTTGACGAGTCCAGCACTGAAGAGTTGAAGAATTCTTCTTCAACGGGGGAGGATGTTCGCGCTTGAACTACGCGCGGGAAATACGCGAACCGCCGAACACTACCGAATGATCACGACGGCGGCCGACGGGCGTTGTCGGCAACAATCGTTTTTTTATTATAACGGCTTGAGAGAAGACAAGACGCAGAAAATTGTACTCGCTTCCTTTGATTGCATACACATTATACTTATTAATATTAGCAAATCTGTAATTATCTTTATTGAAGATTAAATGCCTGTAAACGAATCAAGATTGGGATTATTATTTCCTGGAGTTAACACTAAGCTAAATTTACTTAGTATAAAAAATATATATATTTCGCACACACTATTTTTTTCACCCACCAATCCGCACTGGGCCCGCCCTATTCCATCCATAGGGAAGGCCTGTGCCCCAGCAGTGGGGACATTAATAGGCTGATGATGATGAACCCAAGAATATTTATAATAAGCCAACGTTTCTCTTCCCAATCTTACTGAGGCGACTGCCGTTTTCGCAAAAATCCTATCTATTTTCAGTAAGATTGAGAAATGTCACCTTCACTGTCTAATGTCCGCGTTTTCGCGAAATCCCTAGGATTTTCGTGAAAATTCAACTTATGCAATCATTCTAGGACATACATAAAACATAAGCAAATAAATAATTGTATTTGCTTTAAGCTTTCTGTGGGGTAGAGGTTTGGCAAGCATTTAACTCTGTGGGGCCGTAAGGCACTTATCCCACCGACGATGATAAACGAGAAGCAAATAGAGCTAGAAACGAGTTGGCGAGAAGCGGGCAGCGAGTGTGTACTTCCGATTGCTGGGCTATAAGATCATTTTGAGGCAAGCAAGCATCGCTGAGCCAGTATCGCCGAATCAGTATTGCTGAGCCAGTATCACTGAGCGAGTATTAACATTACTGGCTATTGGCCCTCAGCGAAAACTAGTGGAGAGGGTTCTCGCCGGCAGTGTGAACAGTCAGCGATCAACATTTAATATTTATCTTTAATTTCTTTTGTTTCAACGGAATGTATATCTATTGTACAATTATTGAGCGAGAAAATACCAGATAGTTCGTCGCTTGCTCGCCGACGGTGGGACAGCTGCCTAAGTCTCTAGTTTTCACCTAACGTATCTATCCGTGAAATGTTTGGAATTCATTCACATTGGCATTCAGGATCTTGAGCTTGTTAGCAATTAACACATGAAGTTAGCTCTCATTACACCCTGTAGTAGTCGTGGTCTTTGTGTTTAGTCCGTGTCAGTAATTTGAATAAGTATTGAATTAACAATCACAATATCACTGCAAAACTATTCTCAAAATTGTTTGAATTGCCCTTAGAATGTTAAGGAATATCTGACGAGTTAATATTTGGCCTACTTTATCATGTTACTTTCCATAAATGTGGATATAGTATCTATATTAGGAAAGTATATATAGCGCGCTTGCAAGCGCATAATTTTCAAGCTTTAGACAATACTAACGAATTAGCGGTATTTCTACCTTTTACCTTATTTTATACTAATTATATTGTTACAAGTAGTATATATAACCACTGAGTATCAGAGACTCCCAACAACATAGTTATTTTGTTAATTAGGTACTATAATGTTAATGACCATTCAAATCTCAAACAATATAATACCTGTGTATTTAGGTTAGTCTAATTTTCTTTCACAGCGAGTTACATAACAGCTTGTTCTCGAAACGATCCAAATCTAAACGATTGTGCGTTAAAAACGGCGAAAGAGTCGATTCATCAGTTTTCCCTCGGCGATGAGAACAGGCACTTGCCACCCTTGGACCCCGTGTTCGTTGAAGAGATAACGATATACATTCCCAATGAAACCGGCTTGAAAATTGTCTTCAAGGAGAACTACTTCCATGGGCTCTCTGGTATGCAGATAAAAGGTTTGAAGTGAGTAATTTTGATTCAAATGCTTGTGTGAGCAATTGAATACATATAATAATTTACACGATTATTAAGAAAAATATCTTTATAAATAAAACAAGTTTCAACGGGTTGGATGCACTGATTTTATTTATTTATTGACGTTAGGCACCCTTTGCGGCAATGCGTCGTCAGAATAATGATTTTTTATTTACGGATGACGGAGGAGGAACGTCAAGACGGAGGAGGAACGTCAAACTGTGCGAACGTTAACCAAAGTATTTTTTCGAAAATAAAATAGTTTCATGTGACTTGTTACTAGTATTTGTGCTTGTTGAGTTTACTTATAGTAAGATCGATCTGTACGAGTGTTTGTGTTGTACAAATATCTGTGACTAGAAGTAAAAATCAACAAATAGAAACAGCTGATATTTTTTTTTTGGGGGCGGGTAGTTTCGCTAGTTTTTTTGAAATCATAACATCTAAAAAAGTTGTCAATAAAGACTAAATAAAACTTCACATATTTTGGTGATAATTTATATTGGAAAAAACAAATAATCTTGCGTGCATAAAGTATTGGACTTCGACAAAGATGCTTCATTGTGGTGCGTGTGGGAAATTCTTGTCATCGGTTGGTGCCGTCAGCTGTAGTCTCTGTCCAGTTAAATACCATCGAGCCTGCCTAGCGATTACAGACAAGGCCCATGTCAGTAAGGATTGGGTCTGTCCGGACTGTAAGAAGCTCGTTCGAAAAGGTGATAATACTCAGACACCTGTGAAGGGGATCTGTGATAACACGGAGCCGGAAATAGTGATGCAGCCGCCGTCGAGTCGTGATATCACTTCAGGCACCCAACGTCCTGGAGGGAGCGTCGAGGTGGCGAAATCTACAGAGATCGCCAACATCCAGGCTTTCATGCGAGAATTCAGGGAGTGCATGGAGGTGATGCGCAACTTCCGGAAGGAAGTAGTGGAGGAAATGCGTGACTTCCGAAAGGAAATGGTACGGCTTCGCGACTCCATCCCGGCGATGACGGAACGCATGGACGTCTTCGAGCGACGCCTGGAGGCCGTCGAGCGGAACGGAGGCGACTCCAGAGTTCAGGAACTAGAGAGTACCATCGAGGGTCTCAAACGCGAGCTAAACGATAGAGACCAGGAGGCGCTTCTTTCGGATCTCGAGATAGGACACCTCCCGGAGGAGAAAGGTGAAAACGTCTTTCACGCAGTGGCGGTGCTCGCAACGCGCCTGGGCGTGGCGTTGGACGAGCGCGACGTGATGTTCGCGGAGCGCGTGGGCGCGCCCCCCGCCGAGGCGGACGGGCGGCCGCGCCGCGTGGTGGTGCGCCTGGCGCGCCGGCAGCTGTGCGACGACCTGCTCAAGGCCGCGCGCGTGCGCCGCGCGGGCCGCGCGTCCGGGGGCCAGCCGCGCGTCTACATCAACGAGCGCCTCACTCGTAATAACCGTCAGCTTTTTCATCGCGTTAGGGAGGAGGCCCGCAGGCTGCAGTGGCGCTACACGTGGACCAGGCGGGGCCGTATATTCGCCCGCCAAGCGGACGGAGCGCAGGTCCACCTCTTCCGGTCGGGTGATGATCTCACTCGAGTGTTTGGCAAACGGTCGCCGGAACCCGAATCAGCGGACCCCAAATCACCTGAGAAATAAACATTTTTTAAAGTGTATAGCGAATATTAAGAATGTTGTGATGGCTAAATCAGTATGTTTCACTATGTTATTCTTACCTCATTTTGATGTTATTACTAATATAATAAGTAAACAGTATCACCTACATAATATGTTATTAGATATGCATTTAATACAGTTTTTGGTGCGTGCCTGTGCTGGGTCACAAAATCAACTATTTATGCTCCCCAATATAAAAATTCTATTCTTATTACACGCAATACATTCCAACAATATTATACTATATGTTATATACATAAAAATATATTCTCTTAGTACATTATATATTACGCATTCATATTATTTTGAAAATTATCTATACAAACACGAAAGAGGGAAAAATATAATACACACACAAATAAAATCCTATTGCTATTATTTTACATATTTTCCTATAAATTATACAAGATCCTTCAAGTTAATCCTTTTCAATTTAACTGTTTATAAAAATCACCCTCCTTATACATGTAGGCTTGATATTGTACTCAACTATTACAAATGAACACGTTTAAAAATTTAAAAGTTGGAATTTTCAATGCTGGGTCTTTAACTACAAAACATGAGGATTTCACAGTGGCTGTGGAGGAGATGTCTCCAGATATTCTAGCCATAAACGAAACCTGGCTTAGAGAGAGCTGCGATGACAGAGCACCCAAGTTAGCTGGTTACAGATTGCGCCACATACCAAGACCCAACCACATACGGAGGGGTAGGGGTGGTGGGGTCGGGTTCTATGTTCGTAAGGGTATAAACGCACGTACATGTCCGCACCCGTCTGCAACGGGAGTCGAACAAATGTGGATGAAAGTGCGCTTGCAGAACAAACTCATCGTAGTTGGCACTGCCTATAGGCCACCTTGGTTAGATGTAGATATATTTATGGATGCATTAGTTGACTCCATCACATCTTTTAGCCAGCGAGATGGTATTGTCCTGACGGGTGACTTTAATATAAATCTACTGGATAGCAACACTAATAAGTGTAAACTTTTCATGCAGCTACTATGCAGCACAGATTTAAAACAGCTTGTTAAGGAGCCCACACACTTCACAGATCACAGTGGCAGTTTGATTGACGTTGTGTGCTCCGATATGAAGGCTCTCGGGGTCAAGGTGAGGCATTCTCCAGACCTGGGTGGGCACGCAATGGTAGTGGCTGATTTTAAAGTCAAAGGGGTTAAACCATCTCCCCGCTGGGTAACATACAGGCCACTAAAGAATATTGTTGCAGAGATTTTCGACAGCGACATTTCTTCTGTAAACTGGGATAGTTTAAGGAACATAGAGAGTGTTGAATCCCTAGCAAAAATATTCACTCATTATGTCAGAGTGATTTACGATTTACATGCCCCAATACAAACGCGAAAATTTAAACACCCCCCCCACCCATGGCTTACAGATACTGTGAGATCAATGATGCGTATCCGAGATCACTACCATAGCAAATACAAGACTCACAAAACGGAAATACTAAAAGAAAACTACAAAAATATGAAATATCTTGTGATTGCTGCAATTGAGAGTGAGAAGAGTTGTTTCTTTAATAAACATATAAATACACATCTAAATAATTCCAAACAACTATGGAGGAACCTTAAATCAAATGTGCTTCCAGACAAAAAAAGTGATCAAGAGCTACCACCATTCTTTGACAATCCTGATGTAATTAATCTGCACTTTTTAAATGTACCAGGCAAGGATAATGTGACTATTTCAAGGCTTTCATACTTGGAGCACCACAGAGGTTGCGACTCAGTTTTCACACTGCACACTGTGGGTGAGGATCAAGTGTTAAAAGCAATAAAGAGGCTTAAATCGAATGCACAAGGAGATGACGGTATATCCCTGGAAATGCTGCAGCTGATGTTACCACAAGCATTGAGCACTATAACTGCCCTAATAAATAAATCAATAGACGAAGGTATTTTCCCAGAGATATGGAAGACAGCTATCATAAAGCCTCTCCCAAAGAATAGTCAGCCCTCATCAATGTCAGATCTACGTCCTATAAGCCTTCTACCTTGCTTATCCAAGATATTGGAGAGGATAGTCTGCGATCAGCTCACTAAATACCTCGAAGAACACAAAATTCTACCTGAATATCAATCTGGCTTTCGAAAGGGGTTTAGTACGGCAACTGCTCTCAGTGATGTAGTGGACAATTTTCTCACAGCTCAAGACCAAGGCATGATCACCGCACTACTGTTGCTGGACTTCTCACGTGCATTCGACTCAATTAACACTAGCCTTATGTTGTCCAAGTTATCTTATTATGGAGTGGATGCTAAAGCTTTGAGATGGTTCGATAGCTACCTTACAAATAGAATGCAGTATGTAGAACTTACCATGGCTGATGGGTCCAAATCTAGATCAACCCCACTCCCAGTGACAAGGGGTGTAGTGCAGGGATCCATTCTTGGGCCGATTCTCTATATTTTATATGGTGCAGACATTACACATAGTATTGGCCACTGCAAACACCATCTCTACGCTGATGACCTTCAGCTATACTTGTCATTTTCACCAGATCAACATGCCGATGCTGTAACAAAAATTAATGAGGACTTAAAAAAAATATCAAACTGGTGCACATCTAACTGCCTAATGCTGAATCCCACCAAGTCCAAGCTCATGCTATTTGGTACAAAGAAGAACCTGCAAAAGTTTACTAATGGTGAAGTACCTTTAAATATAAACATTCAAGGTGAAACCATTGAGCTCGTACACACAGCAAGAAGCCTGGGACTTATCCTCGACAGCCAATTAAAATTTGAAGACCACATTGTTGAGTGTGTCAGAAACTGTTTATATAGAATAAAGGTATTGTACAAAATTAAGCCATACATAAGTGAGACTTTGAGGGTTAGGCTGTGTGAGTCACTTGTTCTCTCCAAACTCAACTATTGCGATGTTGTTTATGGTCCCTGCCTTCTGTCAAGGTCTGCTAGAATGATTCAGCGAGTACAGAATGCATGCGCTCGTTATTGTTTTCACGTTCCACCACGTTCACATATATCACCGTTCCTAAACAAAGCAAACTTATTAAAAATGGAATCACGTCGAAAACTTCATCTTGCAGTTATGTTGTTTGGTATTATAAATACAAAGAAACCAAAATACCTGTATGACAAGCTGGTTTGGTTGCAAGAGCATCTCAAATATCAAAGACGTGTATGCACACACGTCTTCTTGACGCCCCAGCATCGCACTGTGGCTTTCAGGGGTTCTTTTAAGTTTGCTGCCTCTCGATGCTGGAATGACCTTCCACCACCCATACGTGAGCTAAAAACAAAATATTCATTAAAGAAAAACTTAAAGGCATACCTCATATCGCTGCAAGTGG